TAGGGAACGATAACAAATAAATAACGCATAAGGAACGATAAATATCGCATGCAAAAGTAAGTGTTACTTAGTCAAGCCGCTCTCTGTAAAAAGCTGGCGGCGGGATGTCCCATCCGCCTCCTCATCCCCCGTCCTCCTGCGCCTCGTTCCGAGCCTCCCAGGAACCTCCAGAAGCCTCCAGTGGCCCTCCAGACAGGCCCCGATAATACTGATTACGCCTCCTCTTCTTCCTCCTCCTCCGCCTCCTGCTCATCCTCCTCCTCCCACCACCAACCACCCTACCCCCGACGACCACCACACCACACCACATCCACCACAATGATCACCACTTCCACCCCTTCCACTCCCCGAGCATGAATTAGTCCCCGAAGGCCTCTCGCGAGCCCTGATGTCCCCGGAGGTCCGCGGAGGTCCCCAGAGGCCTCTGCTAGACCACATTGGCAAAAACGCCCCGCCCCAAGACACAGATCCTCAATCGAACAAACAATACGCCCAACTTTCCACGCCCGCAGCGGGCCTGCGGGGCCAGGACGCCGCGGAGGATCGAGTGGAACTCCTCGCAGTCGAGCTCCTGACTGACGGCACTGACCAGAAACGACCCCCAGTCACTGCAACGACGAGGCGGAGAGGAAGACGGGAGAAGGAGGAGAAGGGGAAGAGAAGGAAGCGGAGCCACACCGCCCTGCTCAAACCGTAGATCCGACTTGTGAAACATAATTTCCTCCTTGCCCAGACAACCAAGTGAAGCCCAGACGGGCCGTCTCGAGCCCCACCAAAGTCGCCTAGGAGGCCTTGAGGACGCCTCGGGGCCGCCAGAGAGACAGGCCAGACTCGAACCCACCCGAAGCTAGACCTGAAAGCGACCTCCGCGCCACTCATCGAAGCGCTAAAGGACGCGCGCGAAAACGAAGGCAGGATGAGAAACCAGAAGGCTGTGACAAACAGGAAGTATCCCAGAGCCGGCGGGTCACGCAGATGTCTGGATCCCAGGACATACCCGGCCCCCCCCCAGTTCCTTGTTCCAGAGGTGCAGAAGTGAGAACTCCTGAGTGCAAGCACTGTTCAGGGAAGAAGGGCTGCACACAGTTTTGACTCAGAACGTCGGCGAGGCCCTACAAAGACGTCAGGGAAGAGGAGAGAACCAGGAACAAGGGCTCCCAACTTCGCGCTTCGCGCTGCGCGAAGTGCGAAGCGCGAATAACTTCGCGCTCTCGCGCCGCCCCCCCAAAGGGAGAAAAGGAGGACGAGGAGGAGGGGGAGAAGGAACGAGGACCGCGAAGCGCGAATAACTTCGCGCCCTCGTGGGAGCCCCTAAGGAAGGCCGAGGAGGGTGGAGTGGGCAGCGAAGGAATCCCACGCTACGCAATCCCGCGTTCCCTCGGCCACCGGGCAGCTCGCGGGGATCACCCGCCGCACCGTAGCGGCGGGGTTCGCAAGGGGGGAGGCGGGAAGAGGGAGAAACAGGGGGCGGGAGGCGAAGGAGGACAGGGGGAGGGGAGACGGAGGGAGAGAGGGAGGGATTAGTTCGGGTCGTCGCATGCTAGCCAGCTCGCTGTCGAGCCCGAATGCAAAGGAATCCACCACCTCCCAAACCTGCAACATGCTTGCACCTGCAGCACTGCCCCAACCTAGAAGACAGGTTGGGGCAGGACAGCACGCGTGCAGAAGGAGGAGAGGAGAGACGGAGGAGGACGAGGAGGAGAAGGATAGGAAAGGAAAGGGAAGGAAAGGATAGGATAGGATAGGATGGGAGAGGAAAGGACAGGATAGGACAGGATAGGATAGGACGGCGCGTGGGGACAAGTCCGAGGTGGGAGGGCTACGCGCCCGCTGATCCATTTTGCTCCGCCAATTCTGCTCAGCCACGGGGAGGGGCCACATCGGCCCGCGCTGACGGCAGGCGCACCCCCCCAGACATAGAAAGCAAAAACATGTGGCACGAGCTGCCTCCTCCTCTGTTCGGATGCGCCCCTTGCAGACGGGCCAACCTCGGCCCCTAGGGAACGACACCGAGCTCCGAGAGAAGGGCCAACACTCGCGGGCTCCCTGACATGCCGAGCCGACGCAACTTCGACACCAACGCTCTGAGCAGGCACGGCCAGAACGATGGCAGCACGACTTCTGGGATCCGGGGCGAGCCTCTGGCGGCCAGGGCGCACCTCGCGCCGGCAACAGAGCCCCCGGGAGCCCGAAGCCCTGGAGAACGAACCCGCGCAAGTAGCCACACTCGCGAGACAACGGCCCTTCGCAAATACAATAGGGCGAGAGCGAAAGAGAGAGAGAGAGAGAAAGAGAGAGAGAGAGAGTGAGAGCACTGTCCGAAAGACCGCGCAGTCTCCCAGCAAGTCGCGCAGCGCCGCTCTGCCCCCGCCTCGAAGAAAAACAAAACAAAACAGAAAACGCGCGCGAGACCAGGGCCAGGAGGAGCAGCGGCACGGGCAGCGGCGCGGCCGCGCGCAGTCCGCGTCTGCTCGAAGCGATCCTGACCTGGGGCAGCCACTTCACTCCTGCAGTTCGCATGGGATTTGGCTATCCAGAAAGGCAGTTCGAACACAGCCGTGTGCAGTCGCTTCCTGGCACTCGCATCGCCGGCTGGGACGGCGCGCAAGTCTCGGCCCTGGCAGGCCGCAGAGGGGCCGCAGAATCCGCCCAGCGATTCCCCCGGGCCTCGGGAGACGTGCCCTTCTGGCGCCCTGGGGCAAGCAAATTCTGCAGCTGGAAACCTAACTCCCCTAGATCCTCAATCCCTCGCACGATCTCACGCCACGAATCGCAGCGCGGGCGCCTCGGCGAGCACCCCGCGAATGCCCGCGCGCGAGGCCGCTGGGCGCGGCGAGGCTCATCCGCGCGGCTGGTGAGCGGCAGCGGCGTAGAGCTCGGTCCTCGGGGATGTCTGGAGCGGGTCAGGCAGAGGCCCGGGAACGCACGACATGACGCAATGGCCCCCGACCTGAGCGAAGCCCCACCCTGCCTGAGGCGCACCTGGCCAAGTGTGGTACTTGCGACATGCCTCATCCGACAAGACGTGCCACGCGGTCGTCTGGACATCCCCGCATATCGAACGCCGCGCGCACGCGTCGTCACGAGGCGGTGAAAAACTGAAAAACCGCCCTCGAAAGAAGCCCTAGCGCCCAACGCCAGGAGGCCGGATCCGGGCGAGGACGAACGCCAATTTCATGATCATCAAACAAATCAGTACGGTCATCATCAATACCAACGCACGTCCAGGGGATATGAAACGCGTCAGCGTTAGCTCCTGAACACAGTGGGCACTGTGCTGCGTCCGTGCAGCCATGTGCTTTGCGCTCAGCAGGGGCCCAGTCCCCACGCGACCAGAGCCCGAGGAGCGCCCGCGGTCTGGCAGGAGGGGGGGCACGTCCTAGCGGAGTCTTCCTCCTGACGAACTTACCCCAGAAGCGCAACGATGTGCTCCAACTCGGGAGCGGCCAACAGGGGGGTGTCCAAGTGTCCAAGAGGGGGGTTGCAAATCATGACCGGCGGCATGTGCGCGGCCCCGCGGGGGGGCCTGGGACGTAATACAATAAGAAGAGGCGCCATGAAATCTGAGGAAAACTCATGGCCGGCGCCATGAAATCCACCCCCCCCTAGTCATCACCCCCCTCTTTTCCGCCCCCGAAACCGGTGCCCCGCAGGTGCCCCAGGGTCCATGTCGCGAAAAACGCCGCGGCCAGGCCGAACCGCGCAGTCGCGCGCGCCGCAAGCGGCGCGCTGCAGCATCGCGCGAGAGCGCCCCGAACAGCAAGTGGCGAGGCCTGGCGCCCGGGATCCGGCGCATCCCCTCGATCAGCCCGCACCGCAAAGGAAGGAGACGAGGCCGACTGCAGCGTGCGGAAGGCGAGGAGAGCTGCACCGAGGATCGGGAGCGGCCAAGAGGGGGGTGTCCAAGAGGGGGGGGGGTGCAAATCATGACCGGCGGCATGTGCGCGGCCCAGCGGGGGGGCCGGGGACGTAAGGAAACAAGAAGAGGCGCCATGAAATCTGGGGAAATATCATGGCCCCCGCCATGATATCCACCCCCCCCTAGTCATCACCCCCCTCTTTTCCGCCCCCGACCCACGGCTGCTTGGAGGAGTAGGCCGGGCAAGCCGATCGTTCCCAAGCAGCCCGACGTAAAACTTGGTGTGGGCGCAATCCCAGCACACGAGACACCATTCATAAACAGATAGGGTCCGCCCACGGCGTGATCTGGGGGCCCCGTGGGGCCCCCGGATTCCCAATATTTTCCCTCATGTTCTAGGTTTCTGCCTTCCCCCCCTTGCACTTCCCATATTTTCGTATATTTTCTTGGGGATCGACGATTTATTGTGTCTGTGTGTTTTCCCAACCATTATGTGGTGTTGGCTCCTCGTTTTGAGGACACAGCGCCCCACGTCTCTTCCTCCTTCCTTCCTCCTCCCTCCTCCCCCTCCTCCCTCCTCCCTGCGTTTCACCCACCCAGTACAGCGTTTCGTGGCCCCATGGGGAGCTGCACCGAAGGCCCCAGTGCCACCGCCCGCATGCGTCACGCACACCCATTTCGGCACACCCCTTACACGTTTCGTGGCCCCAGAGGGAGCCCCACTGAAGGCCTCTCAGTGCCACCGCCCGCATGCGTCACGCACACTTAATTCGGCACACCCCTAACACGCTTCGTGGCTTAACAGGGAGCTTTACCGAAGGACCAAGTGTCACCGCTCGCATGCGTTATGCATATTTATTTCGGCACACTCTTCTTACGCTTCGTGGCTTTACATGGAGCTTTATTGAAGGTCCCGGCGATACCGCTCGCATGCGTTATGTATATTGAATTCGGCACACTCCTCACACGTGGCCTCATAAGGAGCTCCACCGAAGGCCCCAGTGGCACCGCCCGCACGCGTCACGCACACCCAAATCGCCACACCCCTCACACGTTTCGTGGCCCCATAGGGGAGCTCCACCGAAGGCCCCAGTGCCACCGCCCGCATGCGTCACGCACACCCAATTCGGCACACCCCTCACACGTTTCGTGGCCCCATAGGGAGCTCCACCGAAGGCCCTAGTACCACCGCCCGCATGCATTACGCACACCCGATTCGGCACACCCCTCACACGTTTCGTGGCCCCATAGGGAGCTCCAGCCACCGCCCGCATGCGTCACGCACACCCAATTCGGCACCCCCCTCACACGCTTCGTGGCCCCATAGGGAGCTCCACCGAAGGCCCTAATAACACCGCCCGCATGCATCACGCACGCCCATTCCGGCACACCCCTCACACCTCTCGTGGCCCCACAGGGAGCTTCACCGAAGGCGCCAGTGGCTGCGTGCGCATGCGCCCACCGCACCCATTTCGGCACACCCATCACACGCTTCGCGGCACCATAGCGAGCTCCACCGACGGCCCCAATGGCTGCGTTCGCATGCGCCCACCGCACCTATTTCGGCACACCTCTCACGCGTTTCGCGTTTCGTGGCCTGACAGGAAATTCAACCGACAGCCCCAGTGGCTGCTTTCGCGTGTGCCCACCAGACAAGTGTTGCCATATTATTTGCACGGTTCGGGGCCCTAGGGAGCTTCTCCGAATGCGGTGCATACAATGACGCTACTCACAACTGCAATTGGTTGGGTCCTTCGCCAGGCTAATTTTCCCCCTCCTGAGTACTGCCCGTACCAATACGCGCCGGCCAAACTCCCAAGATCGAACAAGTACGGTTACCTAGGCCCTACTCGTAGCCCCGCGGGGAAGCTTCCGTCGCACGAAGTCGTGACCCGCCGATCGCAGCTGTAAACCAAAGCTGCCCTGCTGAAACGCCCCAGCGAAGCCCGTGAGCGGTACCATTACGCCAGCAAGCCCCTGTCAAACTCGGGCCCGAAGTTTTCCGACTTCTTCACTCTCAATGTCACAACCACCAGGCGCGGCACGCATGGAACCCAATGCCCAGCACCATCTCACATGAGCGATGGCGCCCCCAGCTCAGAAACCGAATCTACAACGGTCGGGGCCACATCGCGGTCAGCGACCGCCGCGTCTGGCGCTGTCCTGCCGCCTGTCGACCGACCAACCGGGCAACCAACCAATTTTACCAATCAACCAGCTGGCCTATCGGCCAACCAGCCAACTGACCCACCGGCCAACCAAGCAACCAGCCAACCAATAAACCAACAAACACAGCAGCCAGCCAATCAACCGACCAACCACCCACCCGCCCATCCACCAAACCAACCAACCAACCAACCAACCAACCAACCAACCAACCAACCAACCAACCAACCAACCAAGTAACCGAGCAACCGAGCAACCGAGCAACCAACCAACAGAGCAACCAAATAACCAACCACCCGACAATCCAGCCAACCCATCAACCAACCAGCCAACCAACCAACTAAGCAACCGACCGACCGACGAACCAACTGATTTTGCCACACCCCACGCACGGATCGCGCCTCGGCGACCGATCAGTTTGACCGTCAGGAAAAACCGCTCTGAACCGTCGAACCTTCAGAATAATTATGTTTGAACCTGCTCCCATCAGATATGCAGAAAGCATCTATACACCACCACCGTGCCAGGCCAGGGCCATCCTGGGCCCTGGGATGGTGTATACGCCCTCCTGGCCGAGACAGGAGGGTCTATACACCATCCTACGACCCAGGATGGCCCTGGCCTGGCACGGTGGTGGTGTATAGATGCCTTCATCGGATCAGAGGCTCTTAGCTCTTGAGACCCGTGATGCTGATTTAGACGTCACCCCCAGCTTCTCGATGCTCGGAAGCCCCCCCTGCCGCAGAGCGGACGCGGCGACGCGCCGACGGTGCCACGCGGGAGAACGTGACCTGGCCGACGGTACCCATCGGTCGGAAGACGTAGGTAGAAGCATGACGTAGGAGGGCGTTGGAAATAGATTGGGTTTCCGCCCTCCCCCTGAAGAGGAGGGAAGAGGGAAAACCACTCGACTCTTGAAGTAGGAAGGCGCTGAAAGTAGATTGGAATCTGGGGATCCAAAAACACCTACTTTCAACGACCGATGGGAACAGCAGGAGCTCGACCCCCCGAAGCCTTCCGCAGGAAGCCCAGCCCCGAAACCCTGGGACGTCCGCCGTTTTTTGCATGGGAGCGTCACGCGCTCCGTGGCAGAACCCTCGGATCCCAAGGGACCCAGGGAACGCTGGACACAATGTTTGATTCGCGGGTCGAGAGCGCACCTCTTCCGGTCGAAGCCAAGCGGGCCGCGCGAAGCTGGAGTTAAATCAGAGAAGGGGGAGGAAAAGGGGGGCGCGGCCCCAGAACGAGGCCGGGAGAAGGCAAAGCCTCGCGGGCGCTGGACACGAGCAGGGAGCTTCTCGGCATGTGCCTCCGCTGCAAGAGGTGAGAGGCGGCCGCGCGCCGGGGCAGGTGGTACGGGCCAGGGGGCAGGTTCGATGTCGGACACGCCAGCGTGCGTGCCACGGCGCCTGCCGCCTGCTACGGAGGAGGAGGAAGCGGAGGGAGAAAGAAGAGGGGAGAAAGGGAGGGAGGGAGCGGAGGTAGGAAAAAGGGAAGAGGAGGGGCGGGGATGAGGAGGAGCAGGATGAGGAGGAAGAAGAAACAGAGGAACGAGGAGGAAGGAGGAAGGAGGAAGAGGAAGAGGAAGTTGAGGAGAGGGGAAGAACATACGAAAGGAGGAGGGGGGGAGGGGAGAGACGGAAATGAAGAGGAGGGGAGAGGGGAGGAGGACAAAGGCGGCGGAGGAGGGCAGAGGGAAGGGCTCTGACGCCCGCCCCGGTCGCTCGGGCGGGCCGGGAGGAGCCTTCGCAGTGAGCTCCTGGCTCTCGTCGCGGTCCATGCGTCTCCACATCCTCAAAGGGAGGGGGCGGAGGGGGGGAGGAGGGAGAACGATGTGGAGCACGAGTGGGGAGGAGGGGGAAGAGGGAGTGGCAGGAGGAGGGAGGAGGAGAAAAAAAGGAGGAGGAGGAGGAAGGAGGGAGAAGAGGAGGAGGAGGAGGAGAAGGGAGGAGGGGGAGGAGAGGGGGAGGAGGAGGGGAGGAGGAGGAGGAGAGGAGGAGGAGGAGGAGGCGGAGGAGAGGAGGAGGAGAGGAGGAGGAGGAGGAGGAGGAGGAGGAGGAGGAGGAGGAGGGGGAGGAGGAGGAGAGGGGAGGAGGACGAGGAGGCGGCGGAGGAGGAGGGCGAAGAGGAGGAGGAGGAGGAGGAGTAGGAGGAGGAGCAAGAGCACGAGCATGAACTACAATTGGCGCGTTCACGCCACTGCAAAACATTAAACTGGCGAAGGACCAAACCATATGCAGCTGCGAGTATCGCAGGAGATGCTCCTCTCATCGTAAGTAGCGCACCGCGAGGGGATAGAGCACGGGGCAACGCGGATGGGAGCCCCGAAACGTGCGTGGGGCGTGCCGAAATGATCGGGGGACGCATGCGGGCGCTGCCACGCCCGAGGCCGCCATGCGAACCCTGCCACTGGGGCCTTCGATAAAGCTCCCTATAGGGGCCACGATCCTCGTGAGGGGGGTGCCAAAATCGGCCGAGGCCGCCATGCGAACCCTGCCACTGGGGCCTTCGATTAAACTCCCTATGGGGCCGCGATCCTCGTGAGGGGGGTGCCAAAATCGCCCGAGGCCGCCATGCGAACCCTGCCACTGGGGCCTTCGATAGGCCCCTTGTGGGGCTACGAGGGGTGTGCCAAAATCGCCCGAGGCCGCCATGCGAACCATGCCACTGGGGCCTTCGATAAAGCTCCCTATGGGGCCACGATCCTCGTGAGGGTGTGCCGAGATGGCCCGAGGCCTCCATGCGAACCCTGCCACTGGGGCCTTCGATAAAGCTCCCTATGGGGGGGCCACGATCTTCGTGAGTGGGGTGCCAAAATCGCCCGAGGCCGCCATGCGAACCCTGCCACTGGGGCCTTCGATAAAGCTCCTCATGGGGCCACGATCCTCATGAGGGGTGTGCCGAGATGGCCCGAGGCCGCCATGCGAACCCTGCCACTGGGGCCTCACGATCCTCGTGAGGGCTGTGCCAAAATCGCCCGAGGCCCTATGGGACCACGCCCGAGGCCGCCATACGAACCCTGCCACTGAGGCCTTCGATAAAACTCCCTTTGGGGCCGCGATCCTCGTGAGGGGGGTGCCAAAATCGCCCGAGGCCGCCATGCGAACCCTGCCACTGAGGCCTTCGATAAAACTCCCTTTGGGGCCGCGATCCTCGTGAGGGGGGTGCCAAAATCGCCCGAGGCCGCCATGCGAACCCTGCCACTGGGGCCTTCGATAAAACTCCCTATGGGGCCGCGATCCTCGTGAGGGGGGTGCCAAAATCGCCCGAGGCCGCCATGCGAACCCTGCCACTGGGCCTTCGGTGGAGCCATGTGGCCACGAACCGTGTGAGGGGCGTGCCACAATTGTTGGCATGCGGAGGGCAAAGGCAGGGATGGGCAGAGGGAGGGATGGGAGGAGGGAAGCGGGGGACACGGAGAGGAGGGGAGCGGGAACGCGGGGCGCCGTCTCTCCAAAACGAGGACCCAACACCACAGGATGGTTGGGAGAAACACAAGGGCTGGCGGAGGAGGCAGAATAATACTCCAGATTTCGCAATAAAAGGGAGGGGGTCTGGACCCTCCAAGACAAGCCATTTCAGACCTCCCCCGTGGGAGAACCCTCCAAAACATCGTCCCCAGACCCCCCAGGCCCTCCAAGATAGCCTGGAAGAGCCCCCCCCCGAAATGAGACTTTCTCCCTTTATTACGAAATCTGGAGTACTGATGCTGTTCGATGTCGCTGGCCCTTCTCGGACAGATTCCGCGCAGAGGGTCGACGCCGCCGTCGGCGGCGGCTCGCTTTCGAAGGTCTCCGGGCTGCTTCCGGAGGCCCCCTCGCCGCGGCCGGGCGCGGCTCGGGGACCTGGCAGGAGGGGCTCCGGGAGGGGTCCAGGAAGCGAGCTTGAGTGGATTGGCTTGCAGGGGAGGAACCGGCCATCAGGGAAAACGGGCCCTGGATCTTAAGCCTCCTCCCCAAGACCAGCACTTTGTCC